ACACAAAATTTTTATTAGCACAAGGACAGCAGTTTATATCAGAGAATGTAATAAAAAATTGAGGGTGATTTCAGAAAGGGAAAATTTGCACTCTTTACATGTTCTTAAAAGCTCTCTATTTTCCAATTACCATATAGTGGGATTTATTGACAAGTAAAAAATTTGATGAAAACATTAAATTTTTCTGGTTAGCAATTTTTAATTTGACGAACAGTGCCCTTCGTTTACATGTACAAAATTTTTGACGGTTATTAAATTTGACGTTTTATTTTAAATAGTCAACTCATCAAAATAAAACCTTCGTCAATAAATCCCGCTATACAGTATTTATTAGACTGGGTGTAGCTAATATGGTTGTGGCCGTGGTTAAATATGCATATGCACAGTTATTAATTTTACTTTTTAGTCTCTACTGGAGTGCTGTTATTATCAGTATCATCACTGGCTGGAAGGTCCCATATTGAGGAAGGTCCTGTCTCTGCTGCCTTCTTTAGACCTGCCGGACGATTTTGATTACATCTTGGTGGGCGTGGTCTCTTGTTTCCAAGGTGCTGGAGCATGGGCGGTTGCAGAAATTTGGTTTGACCTGGGCATCAATAATTAGTGGGTGTGGAGTGGGTGTGGTTCCATACAATTTTGCAAGGAAAATGGACAATACTGATCTATAACTTCACTGAGATGATTTCTTAGCATAAAACAACAAAGAAGCCTGTTGAACTACCACAGCTTACACTGGATGCCCACACCAGAATCATGAATATAATTATTGGTCAAAAAGTCAACCTGGGCATTGCCCCCTAATGCCCAGGCCTGCAACCGCCTATGTGCTGGAGGGTGGGGCCATCAGTGGTTAGAGGATCAGAAGGAAGAACAACTAAAGAATAAATAAAAATGAATAACATGTGCTAATATACATGTACATTAATATACATGGTACATGTACATGCATAATTATGTACATGTATCTTACTTTCATCATCATCTTCTTCATCATCGTCTTTCCTGCGTCTCCTCTTTCCCATGGGTGTGGTCTGGTCTTTAGTTCTGAATGAGAATATCTTGGACACTCTTTTACTGGGAGATCCAGCAATCCTTTCACTCATACTGTGCTGTGTGTGTGAATATATAAATATTGAAGTATGATTATTAAGTTAATAATAAGCCCCTGCAACTGTATACTGGTACTAATATTGAATTTGGTAATTGGCTGTGTACATGAATGCTATGCCTCAATGACTAGTTACTCTAAATTTTCTAAAGTTACATGTACAATAATAAGGAGGAACATAAATGAATAAATGTACATTGTATTCAGTAATGTACATGTATAATGTTTGTTTAAATTAATAATTTCCTAAGAGTATAATCAATGCATTGATTGCTAACCAGTCTTCCAGTGCATCCCTCCAGTTCGTCCAGTGTCCTATCAACAATC